CCCCGGCCTCCCCCAGCCCAGTCTCTCTGAGCACATCTGCTCAGGTAGACCTGGGAACAGTTTCAGCAGAGGTCGGGGACCCTGAGGGTACAGGTGGGGCCCCTCCTCCCCCAAGTATCCCCCCACAGCCCCGGCCCAGGAACCTTCCCTCCGAGACCAGCTGAGCAGGTGACTCCATGACGGCCCTTGGTGTCCCTCCCTCCCCACCTGATCCTCCCAGACTTACCTCAACCCTCCCAAGGGCCAGGGGCTCCAGCCTTTGCTCACGAGTGCCTTGGTGCCCGCTGGGTCGGCCCCCATGGCCAGGAGAGCTCAGGACACTTCACTTTTGCACCTTTTCCTCTTTCACCCTGGGCTTGGGCCCCTCCCCGACTCCCCACTCTGGCAGGGCCCCAGGGGAGCCACCAGAAGGAGAGCCTGCCTGCCCCAACGGATTTCTCATGTTTTCTTGCCAACATATTTTTTGTAAGGCTGGTAAATAAATTATTTTGGACAAAATTGGAGCAGTTGCCCAAATGATAGTTTTATTTTCCATTTTTACAAAAAGCCACGGGACCAGCAGATGGTGTAATGATTATGTTTCTGGACTCTTCACATGGTTAACCCCAGTTTGAATCCCAGACCTGGCAGCTTGTAACTCACTCCAGGCGCGTGCACATGCGTGCCCAAGATCCTGAGAGAATGGAAGAGAAGGGATTGTGGCGTAGCCATCCCCCCGGGTGGGGATTTCTCATTTTCTTTCTCTCTGTCTCCCCAGTGAACACAGGTGCCCTATAGCAAAAACCTTTCTTTAAAAAATAATGAAAGTAAACTGGGGCCGGCAGACGGCAGGGTGATTAAGGGCGCTGGACTCCCACATGGCCGACCATGATTCGGTCCTGGACCTGGCCACTTGCTTTCTCACTTTCCCTCTCTCTCCCTCTTGCTCCGTCCTTCTCTGGTGACATTAAAAATAAATAAAGTTAAATAAAACAATAATTCAAAGTAATAATAATAGAAAGAAAGAAAGTCACAGGGTCAACAGGTGGTAGTTAAGGCACTGGACTCCCACATGGTTGACTGCGGTTCGAGTCCCGGACCTAGCAGCTTACTTTCTCACTTTCCCTTTTTCTTTCTTGTTCTCTCTCACTGGTCAAATTAAAAAATAACAACAGGGCCACCAGGTCTTTGGGGCCTTGTCCCTCCTGAGGGTCACACAGGTCTTCCTCTGAAGTTGGCAGACAACCCCAGAATCGCAGCCCTGCAAGTCACAGTTTATCCTTTTACCCCACACTTTAAACCACTGGTCCCTCAAAGGCCCCTCCCCAACTTGCAGTTTTCTCCAGATCAGAAGCTCCTCCCACAAGATGGGGACTCAGTGACCTGTCACTTCCCTGATGCGTCACTCCCTAGGCAATTAATTGGCCAACTCCGCTTCTGGCTCTTTGCCGCCTCACGTGCTGCCTTCTACCCCAGAACTTCTCCAACCTGGCCTCAAAGAACCCCGCAATTTAAACAACCAAACAAGAAAAAGTGCCCAGCCCCTCCCCAAACGAATCTGAGTACCTCTGAGTTCCTGCTATGTACCGGTGTTTTTAAAACAGCAATTATCAAAAGTCAAACTACATTTCAGACCTATGCATCTTACTGTATCAAGTCATGTCTCACAAAAAGCTCCCAGGGGACGCTACTGCACAGCCAGCGTGGAGAACCACTGGTCCAAGGGCCCCAGAGTCCAGGAAGACGTCATGTGCACCTTGCCCCATCCACCCACACAACACTTTGGACTTCACCCAGAACTGGAGTGTCGACAGTCCAGGGGGCAACAAGATTGCACCCCAAGGCCGACTTCTCATTTAGCATTTGTTTTCCTCCTGGCAACCAGCCCTCTTAAGGTTCTGATTGCATGGGGAACGCGGTTTCTTCGCCCCCCTCTTTCCATGCTTAGCTCCTTTTTGGTTAATCTTGCTCCGTCCTTCTCTGGTGACATTAAAAATAAATAAAGTTAAATAAAACAATAATTCAAAGTAATAATAATAGAAAGAAAGAAAGTCACAGGGTCAACAGGTGGTAGTTAAGGCACTGGACTCCCACATGGTTGACTGCGGTTCGAGTCCCGGACCTAGCAGCTTACTTTCTCACTTTCCCTTTTTCTTTCTTGTTCTCTCTCACTGGTCAAATTAAAAAATAACAACAGGGCCACCAGGTCTTTGGGGCCTTGTCCCTCCTGAGGGTCACACAGGTCTTCCTCTGAAGTTGGCAGACAACCCCAGAATCGCAGCCCTGCAAGTCACAGTTTATCCTTTTACCCCACACTTTAAACCACTGGTCCCTCAAAGGCCCCTCCCCAACTTGCAGTTTTCTCCAGATCAGAAGCTCCTCCCACAAGATGGGGACTCAGTGACCTGTCACTTCCCTGATGCGTCACTCCCTAGGCAATTAATTGGCCAACTCCGCTTCTGGCTCTTTGCCGCCTCACGTGCTGCCTTCTACCCCAGAACTTCTCCAACCTGGCCTCAAAGAACCCCGCAATTTAAACAACCAAACAAGAAAAAGTGCCCAGCCCCTCCCCAAACGAATCTGAGTACCTCTGAGTTCCTGCTATGTACCGGTGTTTTTAAAACAGCAATTATCAAAAGTCAAACTACATTTCAGACCTATGCATCTTACTGTATCAAGTCATGTCTCACAAAAAGCTCCCAGGGGACGCTACTGCACAGCCAGCGTGGAGAACCACTGGTCCAAGGGCCCCAGAGTCCAGGAAGACGTCATGTGCACCTTGCCCCATCCACCCACACAACACTTTGGACTTCACCCAGAACTGGAGTGTCGACAGTCCAGGGGGCAACAAGATTGCACCCCAAGGCCGACTTCTCATTTAGCATTTGTTTTCCTCCTGGCAACCAGCCCTCTTAAGGTTCTGATTGCATGGGGAACGCGGTTTCTTCGCCCCCCTCTTTCCATGCTTAGCTCCTTTTTGGTTAATAAGAGCGTCAGTCTCCTAGCCTC